AACTAATTGCAAATATAAAGGATATAAATTTGATAAAACATATGTTAATAAAGAAAAACCTGGACTGCCTATTGTTATCAGGGACATAACCAGTATTCATAGATTATCAGATAAAAGCTTGTTAAAAAAGTGCCTTCATGGAAAAACTTGAAACAATAATGAAGCCTTAAATGCAATAAATTGGAATCGAAGTCCAAAAATGTTTGTGTGGGGCAAATTGCTTTAGAGAAAGGTGCAGCATCAGCTGTTATTAAATTCAATGAAGGATTAACTGGTTTGTTAAATGTTTATTTAGAGCTTGGTATAAATCCTAACAAAAACTGTATTACATTTTGCAAACAAAGAGATTGTCAAATAGTTAAAAATATTGCTAAAAAAAAAATGACTGATGAGGTAAAGCAATGTCAGAAACAAATAAGGGGAAAATAAAAAGATTTTAGTGATCAATATGAAGAAAGTGAAGAAGTAGCTTAAAGCTCTGGCAGTTTTGAGTGGTTTTTTTATATTTCAATTGATATAACTACTTATTTTAGAAATTTAAATTTGATTATCATAATTTATTTTTTTTTAGTTCGAAGTTTTTATATTTCTTTTAACAAGGATACTAACTTCTTTATTGTACTTAAAAAATTAGTTAAAACTCATTGTAAACTTAGTTTATTAATATTGTTGTTAGTTAATACATTGAAGAGTGATTAGAAATCTTTAAGATTAGAATGAGAGCTTATTTTATATTTTAATTTGTTTTTTTCGATGTTAATTTTTTTAAATTGCTGTTTTCTCAGAACAACATTTTTAGCACGGTGCAATAAATAACTTGGGAACTACTTGTTATGGTTCTTTAAAATTTTGTTCAGTTGTAATAATATATATGATAAACTCATTGAAGCAGTATATTTTTTTGATATTATATTTTGACAGAGTTATGGAATTTTAAAGGGGGCTGTTTGGGGGTAAAATTTGACCCGTTAGTTGTATATGCTGTATCTCATAGGTGCTTGAAGTTTACTTTATAATTCTGCTTCCATGAGTTCTATAATATAATACAAGTAAACACTGAAAGTTTGAGTTTTATAGCATCTACCATTGTCTCAATATTTATCGCAGCACCTATTGACTGTTTTAGGTTTCACAACCCAAAACCTGGGTCCAAATGTGAAATTTTAATTTTTTTTTAAATTTTATGTTTTTATGCAGTCTTTTAATATTTTATGAAATCAATACTGTTTGGTTAAAAAAAAATGATTTTAGAATTTTGACCATACATTATTATTTAATAATTTACAAAATTATTAAATAATAATGCACTATTTTAACCTTAAAGTAATAAGAAATAAAATAGCCACAAGGGAAAAATAGTTGACACTAATCCAGATACAGCTATTTTTTTTAGCATCCATAAAGTTAACGCATTTGTGTTAATTGTATTACTGTATAAAAGAATATGGATAATTTTAAACAAAAAGAAGAGCGAGAGAGTCGAATCCAGCTAGCTATTCAAGCTATTACTGAAAAAAAAATGTCATACGTACAAGCTGCTAAGTGATATAATGTGGCAAAATCTACACTTTTTGACAGAACAAAAGGATCATCTAATAATCGAGGAGCGCCAAGAAAGATGAGCAACATCACTGAAGCTATTATTGTTGATTTATTAAAATTTATGAGTGATATAGGCTTCGGCTTGAATAGAAAAGACGTGTTTATTGTTGTTGAAAACTATTTAAAAGAATCAAACCAACGTAGTCTATTCAAAGACGGCAAACCGACTAGAAAATGGTACTCCGGTTTCATGAATAAATATCGTAAAGAAATTTGCCCAAGGAAAGTAAGCGGTATGCAAACTATTAGAGCTGTGGCCACACAACCAGCTATAATTGACAATTGGTTTGAGCAATTAGCAGTAGCATATAATGTACATAATTTAGGCGATAAGCCGTTTCAAATATTTAACTGTGATGAATCTGGTTTGCAATTTGATCAAGGCAAAGTGAAAATTATTTGTAGAAAAGGAACAAAAAACCCTAAAAAGCTAGCACCATCGAATGAAAAGCAAATGACGACAATCTTGACTTGTTGTGACGCATTCGGTAATTATTTACCTCATCAAATAGTTTATAAAGGCAAACATATTATGAAAGACTGGTGCAAAGGCGGTGCCCAGAATGTTTATTGTAACAGTAGTAGTTCAGGCTAGATGGAATCCGAACATTTTTTATCGTGGTTTGAAACAGTTTTTTTGCCTCACGCAAACAAACTTTCAGGATTTAAAGTTCTAATACTTGATGGTCATGCTTCACATATGAGCCTAGAGTTGAAAAAAAAAGCTTTAGAAAATTATATTTTACTTGGGCGTTTGCCGGCTCATACCAGCCATTTTTTACAGCCTTAGATGTTGGCGTTTTTAAAACAATAAAAGGCGCATGGAAGAGAATTATCGAAAGTTATTTGACTAAAAATCACTTTCAAAGCCTGACTAATCGACATTTTCTGGCCATGT